AGCGAGGTCCACTCATACGATATACGGTGCAAGCACAAGTTGAGATTGGACAAACCACGCCATTCGTTTTACAAGACATCCCGGAGTACCAGTCTTTAGCACTTTACAACGCCCTTCCGGATCAAATTAAAAGCGGCCTAAACCTTGGCCAATTTCAAAACAGCGTTAAAGCATTCTTGTTGGATAGAGTCATCTACTGTGAGCGTGTATTTGTTACTGCTATGTATTCGTTTTCTTGTGTCTGTGTGTGTTATATTTATATGTTATATTTATATATTACTTTTTTTCATTGACGTGTAAATAATTGTTATTGCAGTTTTTCTTACCAATAAACTTTGATTATGATTATGAATTGCGGGTGCACGCGGAAAGTGGGAAGCGGGTACGGACAAAGTGAATGTAGTAGCCTTCGACAAGATTTTTTATTAATGGTTGAGTCAAAACTGGCCAATAGAATACTGATCTGCCACACACAAATGCGCTGAAGTCCCTTCGATCTCACACGAGGACTTTGATAATTTTTTTATTCTATGAATGTAAATGAAAGGCACTTGTCACAATTGTCGTTCACGTGTTTCCGGTAATAGATATGCTCACGCGCATTCCCGCGCTTCTATAAACGTCACTGGTTGACAAATTTGAAGTACAGGTGCCATGATATTCCTACAAAAAATGGTATCATGACAGATGACAGCCTGACATTAGCGACTTCAGCAGTCAAATGCCAGAGGTAGATGATGAAAAATTTGTGTTTCGATGGCCGTGAATTCAGTACCTAATTGTATTTCCGCGTGCAATTAGCATTGGAGGACAAAGGCATCGAAAAATAGCTGAAAACGAATGTGGCGGAACCTAATATGTGTGACAATGTGGCAGCAATTGAGGATATTGTTGTGAAACGCGATAGGTACCATATTCGACTCGCAGTGCAATAGCCCATCGAACAATTTCTATGAGTTAGATTCAGCGAAGAGATTATGTTGACGAGGCAGAGTAAGACGTTCAATTGAAAGGATGGTTTTCAGAAAGCAGTTGATGGAATTTGGACCATCCACTCAGGCGGAGCTGTGGCAGTTGAAAGATATGATGCTGAACCCACTGATGTGTGACCTGTGGGATGATCAAAAAGTGTTTTCAATTAGACTTACTCAATGGTAGCGAAAATCATAATTACTTATACGTCTTTTGCTTAGACCAATTATTTTGTAATAAGTTGATTGGAGAGAAATGTTGTGTTTTATTTAATAAGTGTAATAATCCGTTCTTCTTGATATTACTGTCTTTTCATTTCCTTTACCTGCAAAGATATTCAAAATTTTACATTGAATAAATGTTCTTAATTCTGATATTCAGTCCAATTGTTATAAATTTTCATCTAAAAAGGAAAGATGTTCTCATAATACTTGTAGGGATTTGTTTCTTACTAGAAACAATCAAATTCATATTCATATTTACAGTTTTTATATCGCTAATTGTACTAATAAAAAAACGTTTAGAAAATAGTCGTTCACAAAATTGTGTAACGCGCCGGTAATTTGACTGCTCTCTATAATATGATATTGCGGTGTACGCCACACATGCCTACGTGTATTGTGTGTTGCCAACTTTTTGACGCAAAATGGCGGCCGAACCCCTATTGTCGTCACTGTCTCTAAGTCACTGTAGTCGTGGGTATGCTACAGTGACTAAAGTTACTGTAGGGTATGCATGGGTATGTGAATCTCAGGGTAAACTAAAGTCGTATGAACACCACTCGGATCGCGTAAAGAGTAGCTTATGGTAACGGTGTAGTACGGGAAGCTTTAAATACTCTTGATTAACTTCTATACGTCCACAAATAAGAATAGGTTTGCTTTTTTTACCATATCTAGGCATTTAATAAATTGACGTTTGTTAATATATAGGTTGACAGCGTCAAATCGTGTGTCATCAGACAATTTCGGACTGACTCGTTTACCCTGAAACGCACATACCCAGGCGATGTCCTTGACCATATTTCAGTTACAATTAGCAGTCAATGTACTATATAGAATATAGTCTAATAGCGTTTTCGATTGGCAAAACTCGTGCTGCACGAGTGCAATTTTTACGTTCTATTGGTAATTTTAGGGCAATTTTCTGTGTTCCATTGGCAAATGTGATGCAACAATTACGCACTCAGTGCAAATTTCGACGCACGAGGTCCGAGAGCTCGTGGAGCTGCTAGTTAACAAATTTTCAAAACAAACGTGCGACAATTTGAATTTGTTTCTTGCGTTGGGAGAGTTTTTTGTCGTCATCTAGCGATAGCGAAGATGATGAACTAGCCATAACTTCTATTTTACAAAAAGTTGCACTTACTCATTAAACTGAACGCCAAAAATTGGCCCTTTACAGGAATTTCAAATTTATATTCCTCATCGTTTATCATAAATAATACTGAAATCGTTTGTCATTTTTTAGAATAGAGATTTGTCGATTACCTAAATCTAAAATGAGGTTATGGACAAATGACAACAAATATTTACGAATATTTATGTTCCATTGAGAGCAATTTTCACATGATTTCTTCAGTTTCTCGTGCAACACTCGTGCAGTACGAGTTTTGCCAATCGAAAACGCTAT